CCTTTCTTCTCTCAGCCACTCTCATCTAGATAACAGTATTGTTCCACCAGTCAGTGGAATTTTTTACTGAAGAATCTCTGAATTGAGAAGCTGAGGTGCTTGGTGATCATGTTGCCTCTCTATTTTTCCTTTTTATATTTTATATGCCTATGCTGATCACTATATACCTATGCCTAGCACTGACTATATACCAGGAAATCGTCCACCGTCCATTCAATATATTGACTCATCAATACAAAGACCCTCAGAGAAATACCATTACCTCCTAAGCCGAGGACACTGAGACACCAAGAGGAGAAGGAACTTTCCCAGAATACACAGTAAGAGTCAGAATGAGAATCTGAACCCAGAATATCCTGCTCTGGGATCGATGTTCCTATTCAGGCTTCATCTTACATGACTTAACAGGATTAGCACACCTGATCACTCAATTGTTTCCCACAATCCTTTCTTCGCTTGGCTTCCAATCCACCTTACTCACCTGGTTCTTGTCCTACCTTTCTGGCTATCCCATCCCATTCTCCTTTGCTAGTTCCTCCATGTCTCCCTGACTTCCAAAAGCTGGAGTGCCCCAGAGATCAGTCCTTGGACCTGTTTTCTACACTCAGTCCTTAGATGACCTCATCCAATGTTACAGCTTAAATAGCTCTATGTAAATAGCTTACAAATCAATATGTCCTGTCTGGAACTCTCCCGTAAAATTCAGACTCATATATCTAACTGTCCACTCAACCTCTCTACTAATGGCTATCTAATGGCATCTCAAAATCAGCTTGCCTATGGCTGATTACTGCTCCTCTTCCATGAACTTGCTGCTCCCAAACTCAGTTAATGACAACTCTGCTCTTAAAGTTGTCTAGGCCAAAAATTGGGATGTCAACCGTGACTCCTCATTTTTTCTCACAACACATTCATCTGTAAACTATATCCAAGATTTGACCATTTTTCATCACCTCTCCCCACTATCACAAGATAATAGTCCAAGCCACGATTATCTTGCCTAGATGTTGCAATAATTTTTAACTGGTCTCCCTGCTTCTCCCCTTCACTCCCCTGGCAACTTGAGTGAGAGGAGTGGGGCATCACCGTGAATGTAAAATTTAAAAAATATCAAAACTCAGTAATCAAGACAAATGACATTTTAATGTAATATTTTAAAAATACGTTTGTATTGATTTCAGAGAGGAAGGCAGAGGGAAAGAGAGATAGAAACATCAATGATGAGAGAGAATCATTGATCATATGCCTCCTGCAAACCCCACACTGGGAATCAAGCCCACAACCTGGGCAAGTGAGCAGATCAGGAATCAAACCGTGACCTCCTACTTCATAGATAGACACTCAACCACTGAGCCATGCTGGCCGGGCTGTAATATTTTTTAAAAACTCATAATTTAAACTAGCAAATTTTTAAATAAAAACAGGACCTGTGTTTGCATTACTCACCTCCTTTTCCTCACCTTAGTCCCAGTGCCACTTGACTCCTTTCAATGTTCTCTCAACAGTTACAGTGATTCTGTTAAAACTTAAGTAAAATCTTATCAATTGTCTGGCTTCACTTCTCAGAGCAAAATCCAAAGCCCTTCTCATGATGGACTAGTAGAAGGTCCTACATGACCTGGTCCACCATTATCTCCCAAAAATCCAACTCCCACTTCTCTCCTCACGCACTCAGCTTCATCTCCACATGGGCCTCCTCACCATTTCACCAACTTCCCCCAGCACCTGCCAGGCCCACTGCCTTGAATGCTCTCTCCCAAATACATCCCTCACTTCACCCAGTTCTCTTCCCAAATTCACTCTATCTAAACCATACTATCTGAAAATGTCATCCCCCCACACTACATATTTCACTTTATATTCCTCTTCTACTTTTTATTTTTTGTCCACAGAAATTATCATAAGCACACTGTATATATCACTAATTTGTTTTGTTTATTGTCATAACCACTTTACAAGTCCATCAACTACTATAAAGCTGAGATTTTAGGGAGAGAGGGGTTTGTGTTGTTCTCTGTTATATCCCTGTGTCTCAAAAAATTGCTTGGATAATAGTAGGTACTCAGTAAATAATTTTTGAATGAATAGTGATAAATAGTCATGAATGCTTTCCTTTAGCTCCAATGGTCTTACAGCCTGCTATATATAGGTTGTGGATCTATTGCCTCAATAAATTACATCAGGAACTATCTGTAAAATGCAGTTGCCTAAGATCTGAAGAATTCACAAGGTGCTAAATTAGATAACATATTGCAAAACCTTTGTTTCAAATTGACCAATTTTTGAAACAAAAGTTTGACTTGCCTAAAAAAATATTTATCTGGGATTAGTTCAATGTTGGGAGAGCGATTTGTTTTTGAAGATCAAGTTTCTCTTATGGCAAATTCTGAATTTTATTTCAATGTTCTAATTTCCAAGGACTTGACATTATATTAAGATGCCATACAGATTTTCTTAATAATTTCAGAGTGAATCTAAATGTAATCAAAAGGCTTTTCTGATGTAAAATATCTTTGATCCCCTTTGCTAATTATTAACCAAAACTAAAGATAGGTGTTGTAAATAAAACTTGTTTCACCATGAACTGTTATCTTTTGATAGAAAAGATGAAGTTCAGCAAAGAACAAATCTACAACTTGGCCAAAAAACAACAGACTTTGCCTGCAAACATCTGTAAGACACTCATGACTAACCTCATCAGACCCAAGTCCATGTATGGTCTCCTTGCTTTGGCAGGTTAAATTCAGCACTGTGGGAGAGTTTGAGAGTGTCCCGATGAAAAAAACAATTTTAGTAACATTTGGGAACAGGGCAAGAATTAGATTTGTCTTAAAGGCTAATTTTCTTTATAAATCTTCAAAATCCTTTTTGTAGGTTTATGTTTTTAAGAGGATTTATATTTTTTGTAGAGGTTTTATGACTGTATTTACCAGCAGGTTGGGATTATAGAGTGAAAACAGGTCTTGTTTCCCCTTACCTTGTAGTGTCCAGAGAAAGAGCATTTATACTATAAATGTGTCTATAAAGTGACATGTCCCTCCCTGGATTGCTACACATATACCAAATCACCACTGTCATTCATAAAGATTCCCTTCAATTTGTTGTAGCCAAGATGTGAAGTTAGGATTTATTTTTCTCTTTAAATCACTACAGTTTGCAAAGTACAGATACAGAAAGGGGTATGTTAGCCTGCTGCCCATAAAACTCAATGCCCTAAAACTGGGCAGGGGTTGGGGCTGACATACAGACAGCACTAAGGAAATACTCCTAAAGAGAGTGAATGAGTGAAGACTGAATTGACCTGGGTCAAAAGCAAGCAAGACTAGAAAGGGCAAGGGCAAGAATGGCCATGCTTATGTGAAGAGCATAAAACTGTCTGTCCCTATAACAGCTAATGGGTATTATCTTTCTCGAATCTCATTATTTCTTTCCTTTGGTTTTCTTAACTTTATTTAAAATGTTGTTTTCTAAATGATGCTCATCTATTAGTTTGGGCATTTTTAAATTCTATTATTTTAATATATTTTAATTCTACATTTTACTGAAATGATGACTTCAGGTTCTTCATCTTTTTTTTCTTTTCTCACCTAATTTTTGGCCCAGTTTTCTATGTCATTAATGGTTCATTCATTCTGAATCTTTATTTTATTCTTTATTCATTCAGAATTTTTCAATGACAACCAAAATCAGTACAGGATATCTCAATACACAGGACAGAAAAAATCTTTAAAAGGGCCTAGAGTCAAACACATTAGATTTGCATTTGATTCAAACCATCATAAAACACGTTTCCACTGTCTTGGTTGGCAGAGCACATTAAGCAGAGTGGAAACCCAGCACAGAACCTTCACTGAGCCATTCACGCTCTAACCCAGCAGGTGCACTCTGATTATGCACGTGGGAGACTTCAGAACCTCAACCACTATAGCAGGGACCTTCAGCACGGCCATATCCTTACCCTGGAAACCTGTGAATTGCAACAGCCATCACATTTGAAATAGGTTCAAATCTGTACCCAAACAGAAAGCATAGACTTTAATAAAATGCTGAAATTGCACCGTCATATCTACATAAACCCGGACATAAACTTCCATTGTTTCTTAGATTTTTACAAAGGGTTTTATGTCCTCTACTGAGTGGTCTGTGTGGTACATGATCCAGATGTTAGCAAGCCCTTTCAACATCACTCAAAAGGATCTATTATTGTTTTGTTAAAACCTGACATTTTTATTACATAAAGTAGTTTGCATGAGGACTTCTGTATTTGCCCCCAGTGCATTCTGTTCTAGAAATTTATCTTTGGAGAATATATATATATATGCCTAAGCGACCATTACAACCGGTCCACCAAATGACTGGTCGACTGGTTGACCAGTCGCTGCACTGACCACCAGGGAGCAGATGCTCAATGCAGGTGCTGCCCCCTGGTGGTCAGTGCGCTTCCACAGCCAACCTCCTGTGGCAGGCCAACCTCCCACAGTCCCTCCCCACAGCTGGCCAACCTCGATTGCACAACGTGGACGAATTCGTGCCTCTAGTAAGTAGATAAATGTCTTAGTTAAACACACAGAATAGATAAATGAAGCTAACACTCTCAGGATCCTGATACCTTATTCTAGTTGACTGATTTAGTAATAGTGCCCTCCTTCCCACATCTGTAAGGACCATTCTGCATATTCTTTTAATTGACAAGAGCTAATTTGTATCTGAGCATTTGGTGACATTCGCAGGTCACTGGATTGAGAATTACTGATCTGCATTCTAATTGGAGATGGGATACTACTCATTTTTGACTTCTAAATTTCAGCTAAAGTTGAACATTTTTTTAAATCTCTTCCTTAATGAGGATATGTAACTGGCCTTGTTTGTGTGTGGCTGTTAGTTGCTTTAACCCGATGTCTCATTTGCAGAGAATGTTTCCTAAAGATGTCCTTCATGAAAAGGACAAGTTTGGACTTGGCAACAGCAATTTACTTAATTTATCTTAAATTTGGTTTCAGTGAGCAACCCTAATTAACCTGATTTTTTGCTGATAATCACTCACAATGGAATCAAATCACAAATCCGGGGATGGATTGAGCGGCACCCAGAAGGAAGCAGCCCTTCGCGCACTGGTCCAGCGCACAGGATATAGCCTGGTCCAGGTAGGAACTTCTTATGACGTCTGCTGAGACCCACAGAATTCAGTGCTGAGACATTGTACTCACAGTGGGAATATGAGTGATCCTGAGATGCAAACTGGGAACAGTCAGTCATATAGCTCTTCAGGTGGGGGAGGAAGTTGCATCATTTCAGTTTTGTAGGTGACCCTACAGGTGGTGTTCTCTCTCTGCTGGGTTATCAACTCAACCGTAACTTATCATTTGAAAGCAGAATCAGTATCCACAGTCATAGAGACTATCACAGTTTTTAAAGGGAGTATTAGTATATGGAAAGGCAGCTGGAATTTGCCACCCAAAGCTGTCAGTGAAGTAGAACCAGACCGGTGTTTCAAGAATCATCAGAAAACAGACTACCTAGGCACTAACCAGAGAGAACATTGCAAATGTAGAAGGACTTCTAGGTGTGGGATTGAAGGACTGACTGTCTGGTCAGCCTAACTATTCCAGTTATTTCTCTTAACATCTACTCAATAGTTTAGGACAATATAATAAATTTTCTCCGTGTTCATCATTTTGAAAAAAAATCCTAAATTGTCTATTTATAGACGTTAAGAATTACCTGTATATAATTATCTTTATGATAACCTCCTTTAGAGAGCTTTTGCTACCTTAAAAAGCAAGCTAGTATTAATTCTTCAACATAAATGATCTTATTTAAAGAAATAATGTTCCTCTTTTTTACAGTGAGGCAGAGTATTGTAATTCTCAGCGATTCAATTGTCTTTCACACCCACATAATTTTCCAACTTAACCAAATCTGTGTGTTGTTATAAATACCAATGTCTATGTGAATAACAATAAAATAGTCAACAGTGTCTCTTTATTACATGGCCCTTTGTCAGATTATCGCAAAATGTACTACATTCAGTTTTCAATTAATCTTATAAGTCATGACATGTTTTGTTCTAGATAATATAATGCTCAACATTGTTTCTAATTCTTCAACCTAATGAGAAGTGTTTAGTTAGGCTTTTTTAAGATTTCAGAAAATATTATTTTATGATAGACTTTTCAAAGTTTCATTTAAGTCAAGGGCAAAGGAGATACTAATGTATTATTAGGACTTTTTTCATTCATTCAAAAATATATATGATATACTTACTGTATTTTCTAGACATTGTGGATACAGTTATTAAATAAAACAAAAATCATTGCCCTTAGGTGCTTAAATAGCTAGCTAGCACTTATTAAATGTGAGACATTGTACTTATTGCTGTATGTATATTAACTCAATATTCATAATAATTCTATACCAGTATTATCCCCACTTCACAGAAAGCACAAAGTGGTTAAACATCCCACTTAAGGCTCTGCAGTCTCAAGCTGGGTTCTTAGCCTCCAAACTGTTCTGCTAAATTACATTTCCACTAGACCAGTAGAGAGGGACTGGACAGGGCTTACCATGCCACCGTAGGGCATTCAGAATTTATCCTTTGTGCAAAGGAATGTTATTAAAGGGTCCCAAGCAGGGAATAACTTATAAGGATTCCTCTGGCTGGTTGAGGAGAATGGGTCACTGGACATCCAGAATTCAAACAGGAAACCAGTTAGGGATTCAGATGGTATTCCAGATCAGGCCTGGGCTAGGGGCATTCTTTCATTTAATCTTTTCAATTCTGTGAGGTGGAGATTGATGGCCATATTTTATAGATGAGGGGGAGGTTGGATATCTGGAAGCTTTGAAGACCTCAAAGTCAGTACCATTTCTGTCCAACATCTGATTCAGCTGAACTTCTAACTCCAGGTCTTGTATTTGGTTATTTAATGGTACCTGAAATGCATGTATTCTCTCACCATGAAGTAGAGAATATCCTATTTCACAAATGAAGTAACCAAGGCTTAGAGGCCATGACTTGGTCTGTTCAACGCCCCCTTCCCTGAGTTTCTGCGGGAGCCCACGTGCCCCCTGCTCCCCACACATCTCTCTGAGGCCTTTCTAAAACACATTTCACTGTGTGGCTCAGAGGCCAAAAACATATTTTATTTTTAATCCTCACCAAGGATATTTTTTCCCATTGATTTTTAGATAGAGTGGAAGGAAGGAGGGGAGAGAGAGATATAAACATGTAAGAGAGACACATCAATCGGTTGCCTCTCACCCGTGTCCCAACAAGGATGGG